ATTGATAAAAACCTTCTTGATTTATCATAAGAAACTCAATTCTGTTTCATAAAACACGATTAATTATATTAGTTACATTTATTTTTGGGAAAGAATTTTTTTAAATTTAAAACTGATTGAATTTCACCTTGGCTAGCTATGTCCCAAAAAAAGATTTAATGTATTAGCAATTTAATCAAGAGGCATTGACCCATAAATTCTAAAATCAGAACTTATAGACCAACTAGTCCCACAATTACTTTAATGAATACATAAGTCTTTGTTTATGTAAATTGACATATTTTTTTACTGTTTTTATGATATGGTCAATCTGAAAATTCTCTCCTTAATGTTGGTATGTCACATTTCAAAAAAGTAAAATAAAGGATTTTTGTAGTCATGTTGCTGGTTTGGACAAATCTCATTTCATATTCATTTCATCTAAATTTGAATATTCCCTCTTTAATTTTAGTTGTTTATGTCACATTTCAAAAAAATACACTAAAAGATTTTTTCGTAGTGACATTGTTAATTTGGACAAACCACATTTCACATTCAATCCACTCAAAATGTAGCATGCACGTTATAGAAATCAACTCTTATGCCACATTTCAAAAGTCACATTCAAAAAAAAAAAAAAAAGCCTAACAATCAATAAGGGCAAAAAGGTCTTAACATGACACAATAATATATTAGATTGGATCTCATAGAAAATGTATTCAATTGATCAGAACTTACCGATTTATTAAAAAAAAGGAACTTCATAGTATACAAAATTTTGAAGTCGGATTTTCAAGTAAATTTCCCTTTAATGAATTAAAAATGATTAGTTAATAAGTTGAATTATGCAAGTTTGATTAGCAATTTTGTAATTAAAAATACAAAAAGAGTGATATTTAAATATACAGTTTGTTCACTTTTTATTTAGTACTTCAACTTAAATTATTTTAGTTTATTTTATTTTATGGTAAACTTTTTTTATATATTTAAATAAATTTTAGTAATTATATGTATGATCAAAATTTCAATACATAGTCTTTTTATCACAATTTTTTTTTTTTAATTAATGTATGAGGAGTCCTCTATTAGTTCACTTTGAGTCCTCAAAATGTCAAAGCTAACCCTAAAATTAAGTGTTATATAAATTAAAATTAAGTAAACTCAATCTAATTATGTTAAAAATGTAAAATTTATTATATAAATTTTTAAATATAAGGAAAATGTTGAGTTTTCATATAATTTTATTTTTGAATGCAGAAATAATTTTTAAAATAGGGCAAATTACATATACACCCCTCGAGGTTTGGCTAAATTACAAATACCCCTGAGGTTTGAGAAATTACGAATTCCCCCCTGAATGCTATATTTGCATAAGAAATTAGGGGGTAATTTGTTATGAAATATAAACCTCAGGGGGTAAATTGTTATGAAAATACAAACCTCAGGGGGCGGGATGTAATTTCCGAAACCTCAGGGGGGTATCTGTAATTTAACCAAACCTGGAGGGGTGTATATGTAATTTGCCCAAATTAAAAATGGAAATTCATTCAAGAAACCACTATACCTTAACAATCTATTTGGAAATGAAATAAAAAAAGGAAATTAAATCGAAAAAGAAATTGAATAAAAATAAAAATGGAAGTCACACAAAATTAACAATGAACGTTCATTCCAAAAAGCAGAATATCTTAACGATCTATTTGGAAATTAAATAAAAAAGGAAATTCAATTGAAAAAGAACTTGAATAAAAATGAAAGTTGATTAAAAATATAAATGGAAGTTGCATAAAATTAAAAATGGAAGTTTATTAAAGAAACCACTATACATTAATGATCTATTTGGAAATGAAATAAAAAAAGGAAATTGCATAGAAAAGGAAATTGAATAAAAATGGAAGTTAAATAAAAATAAAAATGGAAGTTGCATAAAATT